TTTGTAATTTGATTTTCTGATGAATAATAATCACTATTTTTTCTCATTTCTGCCAAAGTAGCATTTCATATATCGTGATGAGCACTGATACTACAAAATGGATAACTTGAAGAATGTTGTACGCCTACGACCATACCACATTGAATACACCAGTTCTCGTCCGATCACTGAAGTTAAGCAACATCGGGCTTGGTTAGTACTTGGATGGGTGACCGCCTGGGAATACCGAGTGTCGTAAGCTTTGTTTTATTTTTTCATACTAACTTCTGAAACCACTATTATATTTAAGTAACTACACCAAAGGACATAATTAACTTGTTCAACATATCTCTAATATTTAGAAATGTCTTGGATATTAAAACTACTTTTTTTTATTAAATATTATCGAGGGTGTGGATACGATTATAGGTGTAAATAATATACTTGTATTGAACACCCACACCCACCCCACACCCACACCCCTCTTCTGTTGAAATTTGTGGAAGATAAGAAAAGAAGATATTTTGTACTTTGAACTAAATTAAATAGTTATTCTTAGAAGAATATTTTGTGTTTCATAAAATTTGAAAACTGTTCGAAAATGAAGAGAAAAGGAATCTTCTATGAAAACTTGAAGATAAAAATTGAATTCAAAATGAATATTGTTGAACAAAACAAATATTAAAAAGATTTTCATACAGATGAAAACAAAACAAAAATTTCGGTGTAAAGATGTACCTAGAAATCCAAATAAAATAAAACTTTTGAACTGATACAATCAGTGTTTTATCCAGCTTTTTTCGTCCGAGGGTGCAAAATTAACTGCCGGGGGGTCAAAAATCTCTCTTCGGGGTGGCAAACATAGAGTTTCAGGCGCAAAAAGCGTAATTTTTCTGAATTCCGGGGGGGGGGGGGGGGGGGACCCCCCCCGGGGGGGAAAAAAACCCCCCCCCCCCCCCCCCCCCCCCCCCGCTGGATAAACCACTGGATACAATATTCAAATTACATTTTCAATTTCAAAGAGTTTTGATCAACGAAGTTTTTTTATTTCACTTGTTTTGACAAACCTTTGAAAAAGACTTGTTATATTTTTCACAGAACTTTAAATAGGTAACTAATAATTGTGTTATCATATTAAATTCAATTCCTTCAAATTAAGAAATGCAATGCCTTCTTTGTTTTGAGAGTGTGGATCTTTTCCCTACGCACATGCACACCTACTCACATTCACACCTTGAAGAACCGAAAATAGGTGTTGATTGGACTTATTCATCTGGGTAATTAACAATGCACTCAGATATGCCAATAAAGAATTTTTTGTTTGTACAAAGTAATGATAATGATTGTATGTTATTTTGATATGTAAAACGTGAAAAGTGATCTTTTTCGTTGGAAGTAAAATTATTACATAGACGAATGAAATTCTTTTCGTATCACAATTAATATGAATATTTTTAATTGGTTTCATAAAACAAAAACACATGTAATACTTTTTTTTACACAGTGTGGACGAAGGTATAGATATTACATATATCTCTGAGACCCTCAACTGATGGAATTATACATGTGGATCATATAGATCTTAATGGAAATTGATATTTTATAACTATTCCATTGAGTAATATAGATTTTGAATTATCTTTCCTCTATCATAATAAAACATCAACAAAATATATCAATTCTATGTCTCACAAACAGAAGAAATGTATTATTTGAAGATTTCGACGAACAACATGAATTATTATTATTAGATCATTCATCTAGTTCGACATCTCTAAGATACGATGAGAGTAAAAATTAGATTCCAAATTTCTTTTCTTTTTCTTACACTAATTTTTTATTGTAATGCAGAATTCTGATGAATATTTAAAATATTAAATAATTAACACGAAACAAACTTTGCATTTCTTTGTGATTATTTTAAAAGTATATGTCGAAACTATTTTTATTTTTCGACTTACGATCGATTGTTTGCACAAGTATATATTGATCTTCTCTACTTCTCGCGAAAGTATCAGACCAAGTATTATGTGGAAGAAACAGAACGACACTTTTTCTATACTATTATTATTAATAATTAAGGCTGTCATCATATAACCAAAAAAGTATCGACTTAATAAAAGGGTCCGACGAGATGTTGAAGACAGAACGGAAAAACATTTGTTGTCATCAATAATAACGTATCCCCAGTCTAACGTCTATTTCAACAAATTCATATCATATAATTTATACTTGACCTTATTTTTTGATGACAGAAAACAGAACAAAACGTCGTTGATATAAGAGATACTTTTAAAGAGAGAATATTTTCATCACATATCAAGATAACCTGGATATATATATATATATATATATATATGTAGAATGATATTATGCCAAGACTTGTATTATTCATTTGATATAATTTTTTTGAAGAAGTATTTCCACATGAATATATTTGGAATACAAACGAAGCTCATGCTTTGTTGTGTGATACTGTTACTGGAAGTATCATTTTTTAGTCAAGTGAACGGACGAGCATTCGATGAATCTGGTAGGTTGTACTACTGATCATTATAGGATGAGTCAAAACTTTTTGTACATAATAGAAAAATTTCTTTTTCTCTCTTCTTACAAATCTTAAGGTGCTCGATACCAAGCATATAGTTCTTTCTAATGTAGTAATATCATCTCGAACTGTCGAGGAGATTTTTTCTAACAATAAAGTCTCTAGAATGATTAACTTTCTCATCAATACAATAGCAAGTCATAGAAAAATTATATATTATTACATTTTATTTCGTTGATGGTAAATGTTTTTTTGTTCATATAAAACTGTAATTATCTTACAATTAATCTGCAATATTCCTAATGATTATCTTTTGTGAGAACCATGCCAAGATAAAATTTCATCTATAAGTTTTTTATATTTTTGAAAGACACCAAGACATAAATACCGCTCATACATTTAGTACGATTTATTTCACAATCGATACTTCGTTTTTCACAGAAAAATCTTTTCCAAATGTAAAATCGGAGCGTATGTATCGTTTATTTTACCTTTATGACTTAGAGTTACTTCCAAATCTATATGGAGAAATAGAATTTAGAAGCAGGGATGATAGCTTCAGTGCGTAAGTCAGAGATCAGTAGAATACATACAATCACATTCTCAAATCCTATTGAACAATTGTAGTCGATTATCGACGAGAAATTGAAATATCAGCAAATGTCCTTCGTGAATGAGAATGTAAAGACCGCTGAATTTTATCGACTAAATGTCTTTTTTGATAGCTTTTTATGTATGTCTCAGAACTTTTTTCCACTGGAGATATTTTCTTTTTTTATTGAGCCTATAATTCATCCATAAGCTTCAGAATATAAGACATAAAGTAATAGGATTTGATTTTTGTCATGCTCACCATTTTCTATCTACGATTTTGATCTGTTTAAGAGGAAATCAACAGTACCAGCATATATCAGTTTGCCAACAACACAGTCCACCGAGATGGTGTCAACAATGATAACAATTCGTCTGCAGTTGTGTTCACTGACCATGATGGAGAAAACTACATCGACAATCGAACATACGCAGCCTCCTTGGTCGATAGTACACGACAGGCTTCACGCGTCTTCGTTTTCTCTGATGGTCGAACCTACCAGGGTGATTGGATCAATGATAAAAAATCGGGTCGAGGCAACCTGACATGGGCCGATGGTAGTAGCTATGAAGGGAACTGGGCTGACGGAAAGCGAAATGGTACTGGAACACATAACTACTCAGATGGAAGCATATACATCGGTGATTGGATCGATGATAAAAGATCGGGTTTGGGTATACTATCTTCTTTTGACGGTGAGAAATACGGTGGTTATTGGGCCGATGACAAGAGAAATGGGTCAGGTACATTACACTATGCTGACGGTAGAACATATACTGGTGGTTGGTTGAATGGTATGAAATCGGGTGCGGGCATCATGAGTTGGTCCCATGGTGATAGATGTCATGCTGATTGGATTGATGATAAAGCAGTTTGTGATGGTATGTTGTGTTTTGTGAACAGTCATATATTCCATCTTGAGGGTGTGGATGTAGCTGAAGCGCAATCCCTTTCATCTATCTGCACTCATCATATTTTAACCTTTTCACTTTAATAGTGAGATCTTTAATTTGACATCAATAGGTTGAATTGTTTTGAGTTACTACACACATCTATTATTAAAGAAATATCAATAATTATATCGACGACGTACTTCACATCTCCTTCATCTTATCTATTATCTATAACCTTATCTTATTTTTATTCGTGATATTTCTCTTCCGTCGCTGTTTGATCCATAAATCATTTTGATTTTGCCTAAATAAATTTTAAATCTGACTAAATTGTAATTTTGACTACAACACGTCAAAACACTTATGTAAATTGACGTTCATCTTTAGAGCCTTTCCTTCGCTTCCAATATAATAAATGTAAAAAAACAAGGACTTTCTAGTTCTCTATTTCCTAACATGTTCTTTCGAGCAAAAAATTGAATGTATTAAATGAGACCGAACAGCGAAAAATACACTTCTCGACGACTGATATTGGACGCTTGTTTGGTGCCGAGTGAAAAATTTACCATAGCATCTCTATTGCAACACAAACATATACTTCATAGTTCAGACAATTTGTATGTGTCTCACGAGAAAACGCTTTGCGAGAGTGAACGACGTTCTAACGCAGCAGATTTTCTACTTCTTTTCATTCTTCCTATCTTCGTACAAAATTCTTCTGACAATACATATGTACAGATTCACTTTTAATCGGGTAGTTTATTGGAAACTCGAATGAAGCCTACGCTTCTCAGCTCCATTCGCTTCCAAATCACTCATGTCAGCATCCATCTCATTTCCATTTTATGACTAAAAGAAATGATTATGGTTTAGTTTCTATTTCATCTTTTAGCCATTTGTTTTCCACAATGTTCGAATGGTGGAAAATGCACTGGACCAAACTCTTGTACCGTAAGTCTGAAATTGATCTGTATTTGAGAGATAACTCATTCATTTCATGTTTATTTAGTGTACTTCATCATGGACTGGACCTCGATGTGAAACACGTATGTAAACATTCACTCTTCGACGCTGTCCTCATTTTTTCGCACGAAAGACGTCATGTGGGTGTGGGTTTGGGGTGAAGAATAGTTACTCACACCCCACATCTACACTCACTCTCTTCTTTTTATCTGAAAAAAACTAAAACTAGTGAACTTTTTATACTCGAAGAGTGTTAGAAGTTTCAGGTATAGTTTATTTCCACGAAAACAAATTGAAGATAATTGTCGTGATACAAAATAATTATAAAACTAATTCTATGTAAGCATATAAACCTTCGAAGTAACAGAGGGCAGATTGAACAAGAAACAAAATCCCATATATAACACTAAAGATGTCACGGGTTTCGTGTGGACCCACCCCTTCATTTTTCCCCTGTAAGAGGCATAGGAGAAATTTCATATGGCCTTCGTGCGTTGTTAGAAAAATAACGATTAGAGAAGAGATCGATCAAAAAACAATAAGTATTAACGTAGCTAAAAAGAAAAAACGACGTAGAAGGGTTCATTGCTGTTTGATCACTATACTGTCAAATTCGATGGATCCTATGTTTCTCGCTTCCTTTCTATCGAAATTCTCTGAAATGCATTTTGATTTCATCACTCTTTTATAATTAAAATAAGCGATTAGAGTTTGCTTTTGCTTTTATTTATTAGCTATATGTTCTCCACAGTGTTTGAATGGTGGAAACTGCACTGCACCAAACTCTTGTACCGTAAGTCGGGGGTTTGAGGTATGTTGGAGAGATAACTCATTCATTCCATGTTTGTTTAGTGTACATCATTATGGACTGGATCTCGATGTGAAACACGTATGTATTCATTCTTTATTCACTTTACTCTAAATAGATGTGGGTGTGAACTGAGAGCATAGATAATCACACCCACACCCTCAATTTAGATCACTTGTTTCATTGGCAAATATTTAAAATATTTCTTTTTTTCAAATTTTTATTTAACAGAAAGCGAATCAGCAAATTCTTTTTGTCATTTTTATTGTTCTTTTCAAATGAGATATTTGTCAGTTTGTTTCAAAAATTGATTATCTTTCAATAAAAATATGTTTTCTTCGAAATTTTCATTCTAAAAAATACAACTTTCAGATACTTTTTCCTCTTCAAAACAAACGATTTTTTCATTTCATTCAAAATGGATCTTTCGTTTTCTTCGATTAAAAACAAACTCTCTTCTTCTTCTTTTTATAAGAATATCTTGTCTTCATCCTTTTCTAGAACCGAAATCTAAAAAATGGAAACAAAATGCCATTACCGTGGTTGGTGGAAATGGACGAGGAAAAAAATTAAATCAACTCGATAAACCTTCTGGAATCTTTATTGATAAAAAGAAAAACATTTTCATTACTGATACGAACAATACTCGTATTGTTGAATGGAAATATAATGCAAAAAAAGGAAAAATCATTGCAGGTGGAAATGAGGAAGGAAATCGAATGGATCAATTGAATTTTCCAATGGGTGTGATTGTCGATCAGCAAAGTCATTCGATCATTATTGCTGATGTTGGGAACGCCCGAGTGATCCAATGGATGAATCAAAAGCAACAAATTCTTATTGACAGTATTTTCTGTTGGGGTTTGGCAATAGATAAACATGGATTTCTTTATTGTTCTGATTGGTTGGAGAATGCAGTGAAACGATGGAAAATGGGAGAATACAACGTCGAAAAAATTGTAGTGGCAGGTGGAAACGGAAAAGGAAGTGGACGCAATCAACTCAATAATCCTGGTTTTATCTTTGTTGATGATGATCAATCTGTTTATGTACCTGATACGGGCAATAATCGTGTGATGAAGTGGAGAAAAGGTGCAAAGGAAGGAACAGTTGTGGCTGGAGGAAACGGTGAAGGAAGAAATCTCAATCAATTCTCTTCACCTGTAGCAGTGATTGTTGATGATTTGGGTCGAATCTATGTGACAGATATTGAAAATCATCGAGTAATGCGTTGGTGTGAAGGAAAAGAAGAAGGTGAAATTATTGTTGGTGGAAATGGTCAAGGAAAGCAATCAAATCAATTAAATGATCCCATGAATTTATCTTTTGATGATGATGGAAATCTGTATGTTGTTGATGCCGGAAATGTGCGAATTCAGAAATTTGAAATAATATTATGAATGAAATTTTGATTGTGAAAAAGAAAAAAGTTTTTTATTGAATAAAAGAACGAAGAAAAGTCTTTTGGGACTATTTTCTTGAAAATTGAATTTAATTTGATGAATGTAATCGAAAGATTCCAACAAATAAACATTAAATTGTCTTCATCTTCTGTTGAATTTTATGAAAGAGAAGAAAAGAAAGTATTTTGTGATTGATAAAATTCTATTTGAATATTTTTATTTGATGGAAATAATCAAATGTTTTTAGCTTTTTAATTTGATAAAATCTAGAAACTGTTCGAAAATGAATAGAAAATGAATCTTCTATGAAAACTTGAAAATAAAGATCGAATCCAAATAAAATACAGCAGTAACGAAACTTTTGAAATGAAACAAAATTCAAATTTGATTTTTGATTACAAAGAGTTTTGAGTAACGAATTTTTTTCTTATTTCAATTTTGTTTAAAAAACTTTGAAAAAGGTTTCTAATAGCATATATAAATTACGATATATTTCAGCAAATTAAATGGAATAAATAAGAATACTGCAAATAATCAATTGTATTAAATTTTGAAAAAAGAAACAATCCAGTTTATGTTAAAGATCATAGCAACTTCATTTCGTTCTATATTTATTATTTGCGAAAGTCATGTTATTGAAACTGATTCCAAAGCAATTTTTTCCGTCCTTCTTTATCTTTAAAGAACAACCACGTGTGTATCGAATGACGCTTGCTACAATGGAAATAAAAGCAAATATTGTTTCAATATTATGAAGAAAAAAGAACAACGACATGCTATTTAAAGTAGTCATATTCACAAACTATATTAGTAATGAGTATTCGATTGGAAGATTTTCCAAATGAATTATTATTAAATATTTTCAGATATGTCGATACTCGAGATTTATTTTATGGATTTTGGCAACTTAATCAACGGTTCAATCAACTTCTACAATCACTTAAAAAACTTGTTCTTATAATTGAAAAAAGTGAATCAAAATTGATTTCAATTTTTGGTTGTCAAATATATAAAGTCATAGTTGATACTTGTCTTGATATAAATTTTATGAAATTTTCTTATTTACATTCAATAGTATTATATGATATCACTGAAACTGATTTAACACAAATTCGAACAAAATTTATGCCATATCTCGCTTATCTTTCAATTCCATCTAATAATCAATCTTAGTGGACTTACCGATTAATTGAACGAATATTTTCTCCTGAACTATCATCACTTACCACTGTTAATCTTGGTTATTTCCCTATCTCCAAGCCTTCTCACTCTTACTCCGGTTCTCTTCGTTCAATGACTGTTTACTGCAACTCACCATTTATAGTTTTCGATATTCTTAGATTATGTCCTAATCTTTCTTATCTTCGTGTACGTTTTCATCATATTCATAACAGATATTTTCCAATGTTATCGTCGATTATACATCATTCACTTAAATATTTTATTCTATTAGATTCTTTTGGTATATTATCTTTTAATCATATTGATACTTTACTTCAATATATACCAAATGTTGAAAGAATACGACTAAATTTTAAATGTGATGTTCCATTTATTCGTCTTGCTCAAATGATTTCGAATCGTTTATCTTCTTTATATGAATTTAATTGTTATATTGATATTTTATCTGAAGATGATGATGATGATATAATCAATCTTGAAATTATAAGACAAATTCATCCATGTTTTCATCATATTCAATGTAATATAGATGATTTTGGATGCCGAACATATATAACAAATTAAAATAATGTCTTTTATTATCAATGTATCTAACAGAAATTTCTCTCACTTAATTAAAAGTTAGATTGATGAAAATTTTCATTTCTCTCAGTCAATGTGTTGTATTATCAATAAAATCTTGAACTAGTAAATTCGTTTAACGAATATAAATAACATAAGTTTTCAAGTATTTCTTAACATTCATCTATACAGTTATTTTCCTATACAAAAAGTCTCTTATCTTGTTTTATTCGAGTTTCGAATATAAATTTCAGCTGATCGCATAGAAAAACAGTTATTTATTTTCTTCGCCCTTGATAATGGCAAAAGAGAAGTACGGGATGGATGTGAGTGCATGGATAAAAGGTGGTCAGATCTTCTTAATTACACCCATCGTCAAGATGCGTTAATCATTTTTTGATTTTTAGCTTCAAATTTCAAAACAAACACTTTTTTCTATAGGATTTATATTTATATAATAGAAAATCGAAATAAAATCTCTTATAGTCGTTGATATTGTATTTAATTATTTCGATTAGCAACATAATCTCGATAATGTTTGGTTGCACTATCAATAAATTCTAAATAATATCAAAAATATATTATAATATTAATTTTTTTTTGGATATAAATAGTTGCTTACGTTCGTAACTAACTTTATCACTATCATCTCGTGTGAAAACTTTTTTGAAAAAATTTATTTTTCGTTCATCAAGATTATCAGCTTTATCTTTGATTACTTGATTGAATTCATCTTTATCGACAAAACCATCTCCATTTGAATCTTTAATTAGAACAGAAAATAATTAATTCTAATTCTAATTTTGTTTTTCATACCAAATGTCTTGAATAAATTTCGTACACCAAGTGGAGTCATTGGAAAATATTTAGTTACCAAAACTTCAAACTCATCAATTGTTATAACTTCATCTTCTATATAACAAAAATTCGAAGAAAATAATTATTAATCTACCTATAAAATCAAATTACATACTATTTGTATCAATAAATTGCATGAATTTAGCTTGATCATCTTCTGTACTTCTTTCACCAGTAACCAACTCAATAAGTTCTTTAACTTCATTTTTACCAAGTTTACCATTTTGATCAGCATCAAATAACGAAAAGAGAACTTTTATATCTAAATATTTTAAAAATTATTTTATAATAAGATATTTTTCGATCTAGTTACCATCAGCATCATAAGCAGCCATTTTTGAAGAATATACAAAATTCAATACACAGTACTTTTATGAATAAATAATTTTCTTATTTTATACAAAAAAGAAATGAGTGCAGTGTATTTAAATACCCAACTGCCAACCTGTCAATAGCAATATTTGTTTGCCATTCAGAACGAAAAACAAAAATGGTTTGCTTTATAAAAATAATTTACCTGGAAAATGAATGAAAGCAAAAGAATGTCCTTAAAGTTTTTATTTTAAATAGAAACATTTATTGAGTAAAATAGTTTCAATAATAAATCTTATAATAGAGTAATTTTAAATAATCGAGATTTTTTTTGTATTGAAATATTATGTATGAATAGTTAATTTTGCTTTCATAAATACTAGAAGAACTTATATTTTTATGCACTAAACATTTATTTTGATGTCTTTATGCTAAGTAATAAAATACGTTTACGTCTAGTCTTACAGTTTAGTTTCTGGTAGATGCTTATAAATATTATTTAAGAAAAATATAAAATAAAGTCTTTATTCTCTTCATACAAATCTTTAGTTTTCATTTCTCAATATTCTCATAAAAATGTAGAGTCCATTGAAATGACATATACACAGTATATAGTATTCCACTAGAGATGTGCGGGACCGGGACCTACATTTGAGTCTAAGGCTATATAATGACCTTATTCAAGAAAAATGAACCAAAAAGTGCTAATCGTCGACTAAACAAATTGAAAAACGAGTATTGAAGAATTATTTTAGAAATTCTACGAGTAGTTTTGGATTAATTGTCTCCAGAACCATATTAGAGATGAGCGGGGCCAGTTTTGGTCCCAGTCTCGGTTACAGAAGCCGGGATCGGAACCAAAAGAAGAGCTTTACCGGGACCGGGATCAAACAAAAATATTTATCGGGACTATGACCGGGACCCAAAAAGGTTGGTTCCGTACATCTCTGTATTTCACTCATTATCAAATAAATATAATTGAAGTAATAGTATAAAGTCAATTGACATTGAATACTATAGTACTATCTAAACTTTTTTATGATAGAAAAAATCTTATTCTCTCACAGAGATGGGCAAGTCAGACGTTTCCACAAGTCAAGTCATGTTTCAAGTCAAAACTTATTATAGAAAGTCCTTCTATTGAATAAAACTTTGGAATACAAATTTCCGGTTACTTAGAGTTAGTTTTCAGCAAAACTCTCATTTTTAACTATATTTATCTTTTACATTCTAATTCTGTAATAAGACTAGTAAAATACAAAAAAAAAGTATATTGAAACCTCTTCATATATGCTTTTTGACTTGACTTGAGTTTATGGCTTAATCTCAAGTCAAGTCAAGTCAAGTCCAAGAGTGACTTTACTTGCCCATCTCTGTTCCCTCACATACAAATATTATTAATTGATGACGATGAACTCACATCTATGATCGATTTCATTTAAGAATCAGTAAATATAAATATGAAACATTTATTTTTAACAAAATAAATCAAGATTTACAAATAGAAATTTCAATAATTCTATATCCTACAAAAACTTTTTCCATCCATATAACTTTAACAATTCCATTGTATTTATCATTCATAGCTATTAATGTTGATTGAAATTTATCTACATTCATTTGCATATTATTATCAATTGTTATTTGAGGTCTTCGACATTTGATAAATATATTAGCTTGTTGTATTTTTTCAATAGTTGGCCACCAATGACAAACTAGATTATTAAAAAAATCTTCTGTTAAATAATTATAAATAATATCAAGATAAAAACATTGTAAATTTGGCATAAGTTGATGTAAACTTTCGAAAAATTTCGGATCACAATACATTAATGACCAATGAATTTTAATAGTTCGAAGTTCTAATAGAATAAATAATGGTTTTGCAAAAGGTGAATCACGACTATCAAAATAACTTTCTGGACTATTAATTTCCAATTTTTTTAATTTTGGCATATGATTTAAAAGAAAATTAAGAATAGAATTATTTGTATCATCACGATATTTAATATAAAGATTTTCTATATTACTCATTTGACTCGATTCATAAATGATTGATGTTACTGCTGGTAGAAAATTCAATTGACAAATACGTATCGTATCTACACCGAGAATAGTTTTAAGTAACATTTGTTTTGGTACACATTCGATAGAAATATGATGAAGAGAATGAAGTTGTGGAAGAATATTACAGATGGTTGGTATTTCTCGTCCACGTAATTTCATTTTTAAAAATTTTAATTGATTAAGTTTTGTACAATGCCATCGAAGAAATTCAGGTATATGAGAAGTTTTATGTTGATTAATTGGTTGTAGACTAACAATACGATTAAGTATTGAATTCGACCAATATGTATGAATAGCATATTCTAATGGATTATGATTAGTTTTTCCTAATCGAACATGAAATAGAAGATAATCCGAAGCTATTAATTGATTAAAATAATGATTTAAATTAGTAAAAGCTTGAAGAAGATCATGTGCTTCCAAATAAGAAAAAATTGAGATCCATAATTCAACAGGTAAATGTTCAATAGATGTTTTCATCTTAATTTATATTAAACGATTAGTTCTAATCATTTGAAAGAAGTAGACATCCATCCATAGTTTATTATCAAATGAGTAAAACGAACAAATATAGAAACGAATGAATAGATGGCGATACCGAGAAGTTAATGAAGATAAATTAAATGTTAAAACACTTCTTTTTCTTTTCTTATCATACTAAAGAAAAAGATTTACTATGATTGTTGATAAATAGTGACTTTCGTCTTATAAAATAATTTTTTTTATATCAGAGGTTATTGTACAAAACCATTGATAAATATGAATATCAATTCAAATGTTACAATAACCAACAGAATTGTATAAATCATGTTCAAAGAGTGATGTATTTTCTTTTAATATTATCAATATCTATAATGCTTTGAGAATCTTACCTGATGTCAAACGTTTATTGGATAATTATTCAAATATAATTGAAATATCTTATTAATTTAAAGATTTATGTCAATCTATTCAAGAAAATATTGAATTAACAGCATTATAAATCAACTCCTGAATTATCAAAAGAAGCTGGTTCATTTCTCTGGTTACGATTACTACATGATGAACAAGCTAAACAAGAAATGATTGATAAATTAAAAGATTTTCTCGATTCAAAACTTACGTTTTATCGAGTTGAAATTGAATGTGATTTAACAACAATTAATTCTGTAATCATCGCTTCAATAGCTTGTCATGGTAAAATTAGATATTGTTATTGTCAAAATGAGAGCAATAGGTGAAGGATTCTTACTTACAAAATAATATATTGAAACACATAAAACAAGTGCAGTACTTGGACAATATAATGAATGTCAACAATATTTCGAACGATTATTAGAACATCCAAATAGAGAAAATTTAGCATTTATTTAGGTGCGGCTCATTATTTTAAAGAAAATTACGACAAAGCACTACAGTTCTATGAAGACCCATATAAACTGTATATTAGTACTGAGCAATTGTCTGAAGTAATATTAAATGATATTGGTTCATTTTTTAATATTCGAGGAAAATAAGATGAAGCTCTTAATTTATCGTGTACAAGGTGAATATAATTCTGCTTTAGACTATCAATTTAAATCTTTAAGATTAAAAGAAAAATATCTTCCTACTCAACACAAAAATATTGCTAAAATATTAACTAGTAGTATTGCTGCTCTATTCAATGGGACAGATCGTCTCAATGAAGTTATGGGATACCATGAAAAATATTTTCCAATAGATTATGATACTATTAGATTAATAAAAATATAATGATGCAATAGCATTAGATTATTTTGATAAAGGTACAAAAAATGAAGAACAAATTTCTGTTGGATTTAATATTATTCTATTAGCTCGAAATTATGATAATCAAGAAAATGAGACAGTCGGATTAAATGAACAAGTTTAACCTTAAAGTCGATATACCGATTGGATCAATACAATTGGAACTGTTTTTTTTAAATAATTTATTTAATTATGCTTTAACATGTTATTTCATCCGTTTAAATATGAAATTCGATTGATTATATTACGAACAAGCATTGACTGTTTATAAAAATAGACACAAATATAAACACGCACTTGTTATATGTGAAAAATATTATACATCAAATAATTCTATTAAAGAAGTATACGAAAATAATATTGCTCGTACTAAATGGTTAATGAAATAATTAATTCGAATTTCTTCAAATTAAACGCTAGGGGAAAACAGCGGACTTCAAGACTTCGAAAGACTTCAGTTTTTCGAAAGACTTCAGAAGACTTCGATAGACTTCAGAAGACTTCGATAGACTTCAGAAGATTTCAAGAGACTTCCAAAACTTCAAAAGACTTATAAGACTTCATGCATGAAGTCTCTTTTATTTATCCCTCGTTTCCTCGTGGAATACATGCATCCATAGAAATTCTAGAAGGCTTTATGAGACTTCATTACACTTCATGAGACTTCATGAGACTTCATTAGACTTCAGGCGTGAAGTCTCTGTTGTTTCCCCCTCGATTAAACGTTTCCAGTTGCCATAGAAATTCAACACATAGTTGTATGTACCATTACCAACAAAATGCGATGAAGAGGGCAACTTCAATTTAAATTTTTATCTATGATAATGTTGCATTTTATTTCTGAATTCGATATCTGAGTAGCAAAAAAATTGTAAACAAGTAAAACATATTTTTATTCATATTAACATATGAGAATTTTCATAAAACGTCCTTCTAAATCATCATTTTGAGTCCATGTAATTTTAAAACGTCGATTAATTTTTTCGTTTTGATAGAATAAACGTTGTTGATAATATTCTAGCATTTTTCGTCGATTTTTTGAAGAAATACGAGGAAAATCTATATTACCTCGAATAAAAATATGAATTTGATTTAATTTTATTATAATAAACCACCAATGATCAATTAAAGTTTTAAAAAAGACTTTATCTAAATAACAACAAAATATATCAAGATATAATTGTTCAATCATAGGCATTTTTGTAATTAATCGTTCTAAAAAATCTGTTTGAATATATTTAAAATTCCATTTTAGTTTTACATTTTGAACTTCCAGAAATACAATCGATTGTTTAAGAATTAATAATTTTGGATAATCATAATCATAATTTAAAATTTCCAGTCGTTTTAATTTTAACATTTGTATTAAACATAAATTCATAATTTGATAATCTGATTCATTGGAAATATTTATATAAAATGCTTGAATATTATTCGATTGATTTGAATAATATTGAATAGATTCCATTGATTTATAAAGTTCTAAATGAAATATACGTAGTTTAGATGTAGACAGAACAGTTGTTAGTAATTCTTCTGTCATTTGACATCGTAAAGATAAATATTCAAGTAATGGAAGTTGTTGTAAAGCTTGACAAAGGATTTTTGTTTGTGAATTACTTATATGAACTTTTAAAGATTTTAATTTTGTAAATCTATCAATATGATCAATGAATAATTTTGGAAAACCTCCAGATAAATGCCAAAGTGTTGATTGTAAATATGTAATACGATTAAAATTTGTTTTAATAAGATTATTTCTATCATTTTCATCATTTTTTACTAATCGTAAGTAGAATGATAAATGATGAGAATTAAGTAACGAATTAAAATAATAGTTTAAATTGTTGAATATATGAAAAAGTTCATGTATTTCGAAATAAGAATAAATTATTAGCCAAATTTCTATAGGTAAATGTTCGGCACGTGCTTTCATTTTGTTTCTTTTTTATATCTATTCTTCATAAGATATATAAGTTAAAAAGACAAAGAATAAAATGTCACGTTTCTTTACATTGTTGAAAGATATCATTTTAAATCGGAATACATCTATATAGAACTAAACAAATCATCTGATATTCCAAGAACTCGATGATCCTTTAGAACGTAATTTAGCACGACTTGTAAATGTTTGATGAATGATCAGTATATTTATCTTGAGAAAAATTATATTGCTAATACTACATCTTTATTTTCTTAATAAAAAATCACACACGATTTTACTTTTTTTTTAATCAAATAGATAAAGAACATGTGTGACAATTATTTAAAAAGAAAAAAGAAAAAAATCATAATTGAAAAGTTTATTAAATTCATTGATTATCTAGTAAAATATTTTAGTTAGGTGGTGGAAGATTCGGCATTGGTGGAAAATTGATTTTACCTCTAAAATAAAATTTAGATATATCTTTGTTTATTACAAATCAAATACACATACAACTGAGATTGAGTATTTCCAAATCTTTCACCAGAATCCATTCCAAGTGCACCAGCTCCAATACCAAAACCAACACCACGAATACCGTATTTTCGAGTATAACATTGTTTACAATATACATCACCATCATGTTCAGCGAAATTACTAATTTCTAACATTTTCTTACAAAGACCTATATATATATATATTTATGCATATTATTGAAACAAGTTTTATATCATTGCTTTTACCGCATCGAAAGCAAATTTTATGCCACATTTTTCCAGCAACTGGAATTGATTCTGCATGAAAAGCAGCATGAGTACAACGTGGACAATGTTGAGTTTCTGCATTTGTTGTAAATGGCATTCTTAAATCGACAATAAAATAGCACGTTGTAGACTCACGCAAACAATTACTTACTTTTAATTCTTCGGTAAAAGAGCTTTACTAGATATATTAATTATCTGTCTATATATATATATGTATATAACCGAACAACTGGCACTTTAGTTAGTAATATTTATGTCGGTCTTTTTATAGAAAAAAAAAAGTTAGTAGTAATATATATCAAATCCAATGCAATACAAAAGAAATACAGAAAAGAATATATAGCATAGATAAGAAAAACAAAAAAAGAGAAAAATCTGTCAACAAAGAATTGTTTGTCTGAAGCGTAGGTCGTTGTCTATTAAACCACCACATACAAACAACTTATGTCAATCATTGATGAGACCATATTTTATTTGTCGTAATAAGTCAGTTTTATATAGATATGTTGCTTTAACGAATCGAAAAATATTACTGAGAAGACATACGTTGGCACAATCATAATTCAATTGTTAAAGCTAGTTGATGGTACTGTTGATATTTCTATAATTAGCTATTTAGATGATTGATATATATAGAAAATAAATAGGAGAAATCTTTTTTTTTCAAATACAAGGACATATAACATTAACATTCTTTTTTTATATAAATTCGAATCTTCTGTTTGATTTATTTTTCAAAATAAAATACATGTATAAAAATATTCAACAACATGCGTATCGATATTAAGAAGAAAGAAAAAAAAATATATTTCAAATGCATATTTTTGATAAGATCGATTAAAAAAATTTTCTTTCTAACGTCAGTAAATTCCATAGGAATAAAATATACGTGCAGACATTTGGATTTTTTTCTCATCAGGATTATTTTATGAAGGTTAATTTGATCGAAAACGTCAAAGAATATACAAGTACATTTTTTTTATCTAGTTATTTTATAGTGCAAAGAAGAAAAAAAACGATTAATATCGAATACACAAGAATACTTATTTCGAATGGATAATCTTCGTAAATATTCAATTAATATTTCATTAAATGAAGCTATTGATCAACTTAATACACAATTACAACAATTACTTGATAATACTCAAATAGATTTTAGTAAACGAAAAAAAATTCTTTTACAACTTGAAAGAAAACATAATCAATATCGACGATCAATTGAACAAACAGATTTACATAATCAACGAAAATTAATAGATAATAATGATCTCATTCGACGTATAAAGAAAAAAATTATACATGATGATCGTCAACAACAACAACGAAGAAGAGTTGAACAAGAACAAGTAGAAAACAATCATTGGTTACATGATCATATGACATTTCTAGTTGGTGCAGCTCTTACAGGTGTTTTATGTGCTGCAACGTTTATAATAATGATGTTAGATAATTCAAAAGAAAAATATATATAATACATCTATTCGTTTTAATATATAACTTTGTAAAAAAATAAAATTCACATTTTTTATTTAAATAAACATAAATATCAAAAACTAATAAATGTCTATCGTGTCTTTTACTGAACAGAAGCGTATGAAAACATCTATACTATTATTAGAGTACTTTGAACTTTGTATATTCATTAAACTTATGCTTTATTGTACAAAAATTGAACAATATTGAATAGTTATCGCTGTGATGGCCGAGCGGTCTAAGGCGTCTGATTGCTAGTCAGTTGGGATTTCCCGCGTAGGTTCAAATCCTACTCGCAGCGTTTCTTTTTCTTGTTTTTTAATGATTGCTCAAGTACGAAACTTTCTTGCATAAGTTTATCATTACATCATATTTTTTATACAAGAACTACTTCGCACATCAGCACTGTTTCGTTCTTTGAAGGTGTAATTGCATCATGATTACTTCATTACACTGATGTAATATTATATATTTATTATTTTGCTGTAATCTCTTTCAATGTACTATAACAAAATTAAATTTTTCATAAAGATGTAGATGTCAGATAGATACAATATATGTTGGTATCGACACGCTGATATTGTGAGTAATTACTTCAGAAAAATTAGCCATAAACGAGTAGTCTCAATCATTCAGTCGAGTCAAAAACGACGAATGCTACTTGTATATATCATAATTCATAAATAACAATCAAATCTTGAGGGCGTGGCTGCAAATGCTCATAAAGAACAAATTAGTACCCACGTCGACATCCTCCAATCTCACTTTCACATCTAGCCACGTGAATATGTGTTTTGTGTTTGAATAGCATTATCCTGTCAATTTTTTCCAAAATCATGATATATACAATGATAAAACTATATGATCTATTCGACAATAAAAGTATATAATGTATATGCGACAGTATAACTATTTCTAAATTTCAAATCTTCAACAATAACAAAGGTAAGAGCAGAACGAAAAAACATTCCTTCGAGATTATTTTAGTATTCAACAATTGTAAAAATACTTAACCATTTCTTTTTCATTCTTTGTTTATTGCTAAAGATTATCTGTGTTGATCTTCCTTGTCCTTCATAACAACATCCATCATTGCTAGCAAAAAAGTTGTAATCGCCCACAATTCAAAAACAATTGGAAAAAAATCTAGATAAGAAGTAGAGACACTATAAAACGAGCTACTTGTAATAAATTTTTCAAGCAACTCAGATGTCATACATTCATATCACAAATAACAAATAATCAAAGTCAATGGCAACTAGCAAATCAGATCGCACAAAAAAAACTGAGCCAGCATCTGTTCTCTTCAAAAATGCAACTGATAGTCGGCGTATCAATATGCAAAGAATGCAAAGTGTCCTCCTGATTTGGGTGGATAAGAACATTGATGATAATAATGCTGATTGTAGTAATACAATCAAGCAATTGCAACGTGTTGTTAACAACGTAAATACGTTTACAGATAGTGAACAATGTGTTGAATTTATTCAAGAAATTACCAATAACAAGGTATGTATGATTATTTCTGGTTCATTTGGAAAACGTATTGTGCCTCGTGTGCATGACATGTCACAAGTAGACACTATTTTTATTTTTTGTAAAAACGAAGAATTTCGTAACCAATGGGCTAAAAAATATCCTAAGATTAAAGGAGTCTTCACAAAAATAACACCAATCTGTGAAGCTCTTATGCAAGCTGCTCACCAATGTGAGCAAAATGCTACCTCAATCAGTTTTGTGGCATCAAACAAGATATCAGATACATCATTTATGTATACTCAGACCTTGAAAGAAATCTTATTAACCATTAACTTCAAAGAGAAGCACATCAAGGAATATATTCATTACTGTCGTGATGCATTTGTCGAAAATGAGTATGTATTAGAAAATATTACAAAATTGGAACGTGATTATCATGATAAAACACCTATTTGGTGGTATACTTATCAAAGTTTTTTGTATCCTATGCTCAATCGTGCACTGAGATTAATGGATGCTGATATTATTGTACGAATGGGTTTCTTTATTAATGATCTACATCGTGATATTCAACGACTACATTCGGAACAATTTGATGGCCATCATTCCGATAAAACATTTACAGTTTATCGTGGACAAGGTCTTTCGAAAGAGGATTTCGCCGAATTGACAAACACTAAAGGTGGACTTCTTTCATTTAATAACTTTTTGTCAACTAGTAGAAATCGTAATGTTTCTCTTGATTTCGCCCAAGAAGCTGCTATAAATCCTGATCTTATTGGAATTTTATTTGTTATGTCAATTAATCCTGCTGATTCAACAACTCCATTTGCTTCTATTACAGATGTCAGTTATTTTCATAAAGAAGATGAAGTTCTCTTTTCTATGCATACCATTTTTCGCATTGGAGATATTAAACCATTGGATGAAAACAATCATCTTTATCAAGTGAATTTGACATTGACCAGTGACAACGATCAAGATCTTTGGACTCTTAGCAATCAGATCCGGCAGGAGACCTATCCAGAAAAAGAAGGTTGGTATAGACTGGGACTATTACTAATTAAGATGGGTCAATTCATCAAAGCTCAAGAAGTATATGAAATTTTACTTCATCAAACAACGAATGAGAGTGACAAGGCACCTATTTATGATGAACTAGGTTGGATCAAATGTAATCAAGGAGAATACCAAGAAGCACTTGTATCTCATGAAAAAGCTCTTGTACGTCGACAACAATCACTTCCTTCCAACCATCCTGATTTGGCTGCTTCCCATAACAATATTGGTGTGGTGTATTACCGCAAGGGTGATTATACAAAAGCACTTTCTAATTATGAAATAGCACTTGCAATGCGACAACAATCACTTCTTTCTAACCATCCTGATTTGGGTGATTCCTATAACAACATTGGTACTGTGCATCGTAGCATTGGTAATAATTCAAATGCACGTATAGCTCATGAAAAAGCTCTTGAAATTCGACGAAAATCACTTCCTTCCAATCATCCTGATTTGGCTGCTTCCTATAATAACATCGGTAATGTGTATCACAGCATGGGTGATAATACAAAAGCACTTTCAGCTCATGAAAAAGCTCTTGAAATTCGACAGCAATCACTTCCTTACAATCATCCTAGTTTGGGTGCTTCCTACAACAATATCGGTAATGTGTATCTTAGCATGGGTGTTTATCCAGAAGCACTTTCTTCTTATAAGAAAGATCTTGCAATTCTACAGCAAACACTCCCTTTCAATCATTCTAATTTGGGTGCTTCCCATAACAACATTGGTGTGGTGTATTACCGCACGCGTGATTATACAAAAGCGCTTTCTAATTATGAAATAGCACTTGCAATGCGACTGAAATCACTTCCTCCCAATCATCCTGATTTGGCTGCTTCCTTTAATAACATTGGTTTGGTATATAAGAAGATGAGAAAATATTCAAAAGCCTATTTATCTCATCAACGTGCTGTACAAATTGCACAAAAATCATTACCAACAAATCATCCTGATTTTGAAGGCTATAGACAAAACCTCGAACGAATAAAGAGGAAATTAAAATTTGTTTGTATTTTTTGAATATAAAATATACACTAAGAATACTGCCTATTCCAACAAGAATACGATAAGTGACGATTGATTGCATAGTTTATTTACTAGTAGTTCTACCTGAAATATCAGCAACTTGTACAAAAATATTTTCTCTTGACTCTTCAATGCTAATTTGAGCTATTTCACAGTATGAATAGTTTTGTTTTTTCGACTCACAAACTACTGTATCCATTAAATAGTCATTAATTTGCTGAGGTGAGTTTTAATGGCAGATATATAACTTATTGATCATGAAATTGTGAATAATGATAAAATGAATGGAAGACAAAGGTATCTATTTCAGTGTCAACAAAATAAATACCTACATCACATTCGCTTCTCACGGTAATTTGAATTTATCATTGAAAATCTGGAAAAGCCTCCTCTCTTTTTAACATCCTGATATTACAATAATACTTGAAAAAATTGAACAACATATTATACATATTTCAAATAAATAAAATCTACTTTTTTTTCATCTACCAGCATTATCTTACATTTTTCTTATTAACAAAAAAAAAATAGTTTTTTTTCGATCGATAAACAAATGTCTTATCAATATACACATAATTTGTAGTTTATAGATTGTAAAAAGACCATTCATCTTTGCCTAATGAAAAAGTAAAAGCAAAAATAATGCCACCACCAAATATACATGCTGTTGTAAGAAATGAACCAAATAGGAGATGCGTCATACCTTCACAGTAAGAAAAATTCAATATATAATTAAATTTCGAAGAAAAAAGTATAATCATTAATACCTGAAATTCCTTGACCACTTGTACAACCACCTGCACATCGTGCACCTAAGAGTAAGAAAAATCCTCCTAGAATACTATTAAGTATATTGGTTCCATTTTCTGCACCTAATGGAATTGTTTGTGATAGACTTGATGATAATGCACTACCACCAATAGCACCCAAAGCAAATAGAAGAGTAACATAGTTCTTAAATCCATAGGCAAATGAATTCATTGATGGTATTGTTCGACCAATTGTTTTAATACGACATACTTGAGCAGCAAATACAGTAAATGCGGATGATACTCCCAATGATTTTTCAAGAAAAAATATAAAAAATAATTGTAAAAGTCCAATACCTGCACCACAAATTGATGGTGGCCAAGCAGCCATACCAAAAATATGTCCAATAGCTTCATTTGGATTGAGAGTACCGTTAACTAATAAGCGACTATTTAAATCAGATTTCCAAGGAATCAAATATTCTAAACCAATAGCAGCACCAAGAAGAATACAACCGAATATAGTATGAATGATAGTACTATGAATATGTAATACATCACATAAACGTCGTAGAACAAGTGATGTTGAAGGTAATTTTGTATGTGATACACGATCATGTATCAACATATAGTAAAAATAGGTGCCCAGAAGACCACCCAAGCAAGTAAAGAGTGAATTAAGAATACCTGAACCACTGAGAGAAAGAAAGGTAGAAATACATTATTTACTATTTATGAAATAGCAATGATATTTACACTTGAACAAAAACTGTTCCTGGACAACTACCAGATACAACCATTCCTAAACCGATTAAAGTACCTCCAAATATATAATGAAGAACTACAAAATAAGAACTAAAATATTAGTTTCATTTATTAATAGTTTACCGCCTCGACGACTATTATGTTCGATATAACTATTTAAAACTTTTCCATACAAAGCTCCACAAAAGAGAACAAGTAAAGCTACACTTAACATTGATACTCCAACAGCAGCAAGAAACATTTTTAACATTGCAAAACGTTCAAATAACATTTGTTTACGAATAGTAGGTGACACAAAAACTGTACCTTTATTCATAAGAAATCCAAATAAAATACCAAAAATAATTGCATACATAGCACTAAGAATATTCATGAAAGTGCTTTTATTATCATCATAACTCTGTTGATCAATCGAGACTATATTTGTTTTTGATGTATCGGTATTACTATTATATTGGTAAAGATAGTTGTTTTTTAATATAAAGAAGTAGGGAAATTTTATATGAAATAAACTTACATTGAATTCGTATGTTGTGCTAATAGCATCGGTGATCTATCGCCTTCGATTATGATATCTGATTTAATATTTTCTTTATGTTGATTGTCAATATCATGTTTTAACATCGTTTCGTAAAAACAATTCAATAATGATTGATGGAAAGAAAAAAAACGTAGTATAAATCTAAAAGTATCAACATACTTATAAAGGTGACTCGCGAAGAAAAGAAAGAAAAAAAAATGAAAGTTTTTAACCTTACCTATATACATATATTTACACCAGACTATATCAAAAATACTGATATTTTTTTATATGACAAGCTAATGTATTTAATGAGATATTTTCATTAGATATAATTACTATGGTTATTTTTAAACGACATCTATATACTACTAATTAATAAAAAATCAAAATATAATTTTATACATTTTATATAAATTGATTTTCTTCGACTATGTATTTGCAATGAAAAATAATAATAAATTCTGTTTTTAGATTCAAATTTTTATTTTCGGTTATCGTAGAATAAGGCGGAAAAAAGAGAAGAGTAGTTAACATACGACATAACTATATACTTTTTACCTATCTCAAAAAAAAGTATCAGTCACGTTACATTATGACAAGATGATTTTGATAATAATTTATCTTCAGTTGCTCAAGATATCTATCAATATTAAGTAGATATTAGTGAAAAATACGTAATGCTATATGAAAGTGATGAAGAAAATGGATAAAACTGTATTAACCAAGTTTTCGAAATTTCATAAACTCAATAATATTAATTATGAAGTTAATTCGACAAATTATAACATGTACACATTCGTATTCAATACAATCAGAGTTTTTCATCGAGACTACTTTCATAATTTCTAGTTCTTTATTTGACAATATATGATGCAATAGTCTATCTCTCTATTTCACAAAGATATATGTATTATTTATCTGAGATTGAATAATATAATATTTATTTTTGTGCGTGTGACATGTGTTGTAGAGAAATGAATTTAAAAACTGGTATCTTGAATACGTTATTCAATCATCTGCTTTGAGCTAAAGTTTTATGCAGCTATATGTTAATATGATTTCACATTCTCTTCTGAACATACGTAGTGGAGACATCACGCCTACAATAAAAAATGAAAATGTACCTATCAATACAATAAATATAGTTACGATAATAAGAGTGGTGAAGCGTAGTTACGATTGTTTATTGACATTGATAATAAGGTTTTCATCTAATATATATTCATACGTTTTGTTTTTATCTTATCAGTTGATCCACTGTATTAACTACTTTATTATATTCTGAAATATCTAAGTCAATGTCAAAACATTTTTTAAGGCAGGTATGAATCAAACAATACAATTATATTCATCAATAATAATCAATTTCTTTCTAAAGTTTTTCGAAGTTGAATCATCAACGTATACATATTTACTAGCTGATTTAACAACAAAAGAAGCTTTAATTATTGATCCTGTTGTTAATACGGTTGAACGTGATGCTAAAATAATTCAACAACTTGGTTTACAATTACGATATGCATGTATTTATTGATCATATCTTTTATAAAATCATTTTTCATTCAGTTATTTTGTAGTAAATACACATATACATGCTGATCATATTACAGGAAGTGGTAAACTAAAAACGTTATTTCCCGGTTGTCAAAGTATTATTTCGAATGTAAGTGGTGCTAAAGCTGATATATATATCAAAGATGAGGATTTAATTAAAATTGGAGAATCAGGTAAAACACCGATAATTCTTGAATGTCGATCAACTCCAGGTCATACAAATGGTGAGTTAGAATTCAAATGCAAATAACTGTTTTTTTTAAAAATATGTCAATTTCTCAAGGTTGTACATGCTTTATTTGGCATGATTATGGTGCTATTTTTACAGGTGATACACTTTTAATTCGTGGATGTGGTCGAACCGATTTTCAACAAGGAAATGCTGATCAACTTTATACATCTATACATACGAAAATATTTACATTACCTGAATATTATAAAGTATATCCAGCACATGATTATACCGGTATTGAATTATATGTTTTTTTTGTTCTTCAAGAAATTAAATTTATTTAGGACAAACATGTTCAACTATTCTTGAAGAAAAAACATACAATCCAAGATTAACTAAATTACGAGAAGAATTTATTGATATAATGACAAATCTTAAATTATGCTATCCAAAACAAATTGGTAAAAAGAAAAAAATATCAATTGAAACCAAACATATATTTTTTTAATTTATTTAGATAAAGCAGTTCCTGCAAATTTACTATGTGGTTTACAAAATGATATTGAATAAATTTTTTGTTTTATTTAATACACATTCGTCTGTATTTTTCTTTTCTTTCTCTTTCATTTGATTTCAGCCATGTGGTAGTAGTAAGATAATATTTGGGTAATTTATTGAAGGAAAAAAAACAAAAAAGCATGTATAGATATTTATATCTTAATGTCAACAACGTATTTCTCTAATCGTATGAATACAAAAATAGTATCGAAATATTACTTTTATTATAATTAGTTCGATCGGCAACGAAATGAATTACGTATTGGATATAAATAAAGAAGAAAAATATAAATGATAGATACGTTTTTATTTAGAATATTTAGCTTAAAGAATGAATTATTACGATTGAAAATAACGCTTTTACAAAAACAGATCAACATGTTTTTAAGTAATACATATGTCATATTATTATTTAATTATGTTTACCTTTTTCAAGGCTTCTCTTCGTCAATAGGACTATTGACGTAGCAAAGACTCTATTTTATCCTTTCGTCAATCAGATTGTACGATCGTAACTTGCTTAGATAAAAAGAATTAACATAAACATGCTGAATATATCAACAAAGAAATTATTTGTATTTAACCGTTCTTTAACTTTATATCCAAGAATATCTTTAAGTGTATGTTGATATCATAATATTTAATAAAAGACCAAACAGAATGATCAGCTACCAATTGCTTCAATGAAGTCGGTTGTTGATTCAAGATATAACATGAATCAAGTTGTACGTTAACACGTGGTAGATTGAATGAATGTGTCGAATAAACTTTGTAATCATTTATTTATCATATACGCAAATACTATTCGATTCTTTTTTAAATTTTACTACCAATCAAAATACATATATAAGTATTTTCTCATTCATATTAATATCAAGCAAAAATTTTAAATCAAGCCCAATCTATTGAATGTTATATGTCTAAAAGCGAACTAACTCCATCAGTTTCGCTCAATTGTTCTCAAATAGCAATTAAATGTACCAAATTTCATTATGAGATTAATATATAACTGAACAGTAATTATTGATTCTATACATTCAATATGATCTGCTTTTCGCATAAATTTTATTCATTTTTAAAAAGGTTATTTTGCAGATGAAATCAAGTTTATGATGCTGTTTTTTTGTATACTTTATGACACAAAATAAATATAATATGACGAAAAAACCCAGTGCATATATAAAGTCAATATTATCATGCACTAGTAGTTTATTCGAAAGAAAATTAATTTCATCACCAGTAACTCATATAAATATCGGCGTCGACTATTTTTATATGTAGTTCTATATATAATATCTGTTGTTTCTTCTCCTCAATAGGATAATAATTATCACATTTGAATTCAAAATAAGGTGTGAAATAATAAAAATTGTTAGTTGAAAAATATAGAAGATTATTTAACACTGAATATTAATTGTGAGGAATTTTTTGTATGCAAATTGTCTATCACCTATGAGATAACATATATTAAAAGATAAAGATTATGTCATATATCTATTATTTTAAGCGATAAATCGAACGTTTTTTTTTTCTTTGAATAGATAGTCATTTTGTTATTTGACTTTATACATGCAAATGTCATCGCCTAAGAAAAATAAGAAGAAATTTACAGTAAATTTATCTTAATTTTTAAATTAAAATTTCTATGTATGTATTTAATAGATTGCTGTCGAGGGTAATATTGGTTCTGGGTAAGAAAATTTAGTTTATAGACTTTTGATTTATCTAATAATTTTTATTAGAAAAAGTACAGTACTTTCGTGTTTAGAAAAATCACCATTATGTGATGTAAGTTTATTGATCGAAAATAAAATTCTATTAACATATGTCTGTCTAGGTCATTCCGGAACCAATTGAAAGTTGGACAAATCATAAAGGACATAATATCTTGGTATATAATTTTATAATATATCTATTTGATCTTATTTTTTGTTTTGGGTTAGGCTATGTTTTATGATGATCCTCATCGATGGGCATTTGTTTTTGAAACAAATGCTCTAATGACACTTGCAAAATTACATACACAATTAGCTAAAGCACCTGTTAAAGTTATGGAACGATCAATACATAGTGCACGTTACTGCTTTATTGAAAATCTCCATCGAAGGTAAAACAAAAAACAAAATTTTCATATTTTTTTTTTGCAATATTTTGTTTAGTAATGTTCTTCAAGATGTTGAATATCAAATTTTAGATGATTATTTTGAAATGCTTATTTCAAATGAAGCATGCAAACTTGATTTAATTAGTAAAAATATCATTCGATTTTTATTTATTATTATTTTCTATTATCTATAGTATATTTACGTGCAACACCAAAAACATGTCTTGAACGTATTCGAGCTCGTAATCGTCCCGAAGAAACAACAATTGATTTAAATTATTTAACAACTCTTCATCGTCGACATGAAGAATGGTTAATACCTCGAGCTTATGGTGATACACCATCACCACCTGTACTTATCGTTGATGCTAATCAAAACAAAGAACGTGTCTATTCCGATACCAATAACCATGTTATTAATCTAATTTCCTGTTGAAAAAAAAATATATATAGAAAATATTTTGTAAATAAATATCGAATTTGTTTTTTCGTTCTTGTATATATGTATAAATAATGAAAATAAAATATATATTCTCAATTGATTAAAAATCTTTCATACTAATTTAATCAAGTTTTAACCTTTGGATGTATTGATTTCTTATCTTTGTTCTTTATTGTATCTAATTTATCTGCTTATATATACAAAAATGTCGGAAGAACAAATTGATGAGAAAAAGAGCTTAACTATTCACATTACCGTAAACCTTACAATTCTATCACATTCATTGCAATTATTCTTCAACTGGTTGAAAAGGAATCCTTCCATATAGTTTATTAAAATAAATTGATTCATATAAAAACCTTATAAAACAATATTTGACTCTTATTGTAAAGCATCTATTGATGACTCATAGAATCTTTATAAACATATTACGTTCGATTAAATCTTAATTTTGATCATTACGATTGATTTGTCGATTGAAATATGAATAAAAATATTTGTTCTAACCTCGATCATGTCATATAATAAACTATAGATGACATTAGTTATTCATAGAAGAAGAAAAAAAAATCATAAGTTTCTTAAAGTAAAAATAAAATTTGTATTTCTTTTTTTTTTGTCAACCAAAAAACGAAGAAATAATTCGTCTAAAGTTCAACAGGAACAAAAAAAAGTATTATTCATGATAATCGTCAAACGACTTTACGATTAATTCTATAACCTACACATGTTTTTTTTTTCTTCTTCGTTCTTCTTTTTATATCATTTATATCTTCTATATGAAAAATACTTGAATCAATATAGGTGATTTATATTGACATACAATAATGTAATAAAAAGTATGTGTAGTGAAGAAGATTTATTTTTCTATGAAAAAAATATTGATCGAGAACGTATTATTATTAATAAAAATTCTTCTCTATTAAACGATTGTTTTTGTTCAATTTGCTGGTGTCTTCTATGGAAACCTTGTTCATGTTCTTCATGTCAAAATTTATTTTGTAATGAATGTATTCAAACATGGTTAAATATTTCATCGTCAACATGTCCTTTATGTCGTTTATCGTATAACGAAAAATCTCCACCATTATCTATTCATTCAATTTTAGCTCAGATTTCTATTCGTTGTCGTAATTCATCATTGGGTTGTACAGAAATTCTTTTATATGATTTATTAGAACAACATGAATGTATCGATTGCCATTTTCGTACAAAAAAATGTCGTTTATGTGAACAAATTATACTTATAAAAGATATTGATCAACATAAAAATATATGTAAACCTATTGCAATACAATGTAATGTCTGTCAATATTCTATTCAAAATGAAGATTATATTGAATCCTTTACTTTTTCAAATCAAACAATATTATCACCCATATCTGTGGTTAATTTCCCAGGAATAGAATTATTCAATCAAGCACGTGGAAAAAATTGTTTTTATCGATTCTATGCAATGTTTCAATTGATGTTAGTTAATCTGAAAATAATTCATCTGATTTTATTCAATCTTTTAGTATGGAACTTAGGAAACTTAAATTATTTTAAAATATGGTATCAAAAATCAATATATTCATCATTTATCGTTCTTATATTATTTAATTATACATTTTATTATGTATTGAATTTAATCGATGATATATTTATAATTTTATTTATTATTTTCAGTTTAATTATATCGAGTTCAATCGATTCAACAATCGAAATAAATCAATTTCAAATGAATTTTAATCGAAATGAATTATTATTATTTTCTATACTTATATTCTTTTTATTTCAAATACCCCTTTGGATTATACGATTATATTTCGATTATATATCCATTCATATAGGAGCAATATGTTTGTCCTTGATGAGTATGATTTGGTTTTTATTTGATCAATAATAAATATTATCATATTGATCATATTATTAGATAAACATCAAAAACAAAAGTCGATAAATTGACTATTAGTATCATAATATTTACCAAATGGAAATGGATTTTACAAATGAAAGAAAATATCTCATACTTTTTATTGGAGGATTAATCACGTGATATATTTTGTCTTCGAATTATTTTTATTACTAATTTGGGGTTATAGAAAGAAAAAATGTTTTTTTATACATACTAACCTTGTATCGATAGAATAATTAAATTATTCATTTATTGTTGGGATTTTTGATGAATAAAATGATAGCAGTTGATTTATCATACGACTAATTTTTACTAAATCGTGATTTTGAAAGAAAAGAGCATTAATTCGTTCTATGCTGCTGGTGATTACTAATTAATATGAACTGTAAGAAAGAGAAATATACGATTTTCTATGTTCTTCGGTTAATAACTTTTTTTTTTATTTTAAATTTGTAACAAATTTCTTTGTTAAAATACAAAGAATAACAAAATTAAACAGCTCCTTTAAACATATGATATTGTTTAAATTGTTGATGAAGTTGTTTAAGTAATTCACGTTCAGCAACTGTCATTTGTCCACTGTATTGGTCGACACGTTCACCACTTATACGAAATAATTCAAATGCTACACCATGTAAAGTTTTCTAAACAAAAAAGAACAATGAAATAAAATAAAAAAAAAGTTAAATTCTTTTACTTTAAGTGTAGGGGCAATGAATACACCTTTTGATAAAAGATGAACATAATCAATTAGAACATAAACAATCGTTGAACGAAAATCTTCTTTACATTGTTCGATAAGATGAGCAGCCAATCTAAATAATAGATTTCATATAAATGAAAGAAGAAAGATATGAATATCTACTTTGTTATATCACGTGCTGCTTCAATTAATTTTTCATTTGTTTCTTGTTTATCTTTGGCTTGAACAACAATTGATTGAAGAAGTACTAGAATTAAATTCAAGCAAAATAAAATAAAGATCCTAAATAATATTCTTACATTTTATAATAGTTTCAATAGTTGGTACATGTTTGCATAACGTTGCTGTATGATGTTTAATCAATAATGAAACAAGTTTACAAATATTTGAATGATTTAAAAATAAAATATCTGATGGTAAATGAAGACAACATTGAAGTAAACTTAATGCTACTTGTGAACGTAGTTGAGACTAAATTATATTTAATAAAAAATAAATTTTATATAAGCAATAAATCTTAAATCTTACCCTTTTCACTGTTAATATATCATTAGAAAATGCTAAAATAAATGACACTACTTCTGAATATCGTGAAAATTCCATTGGAAGATGAATTAACAATGGACCACATTGCATGATTACCTAAATAAAATATAATTATTACAAATCATCATATTCTATTAAAGGAGGAAATAGCAATTTCTTGCTCTAATTACTTTCCTAAGAGTTATAATCAGACATTTTCAAAAAATTCCTTTTTTCGTATACGTTAAAAAACTGGATTTTTTATCAAAATTTCTCTAGCGCTCCCGACAATCGATAAATTAATCAACGCTGAGAACCGCAACCGAGGGGGCAACAACAGATACTTCATGCATAAAGTCTCATGAAGTCTTCTGAAGCCCACTGAAGTCTCTTGCAGTCTATTAAAGTCTTCCGAAATCTTCGAAATCTTTTGAAGCCTTTCGAAAAACTGAAGTCTCGCTTGTTGAAGTCTCGTGAAGTTCCTTAACGTCTTTGAAGTCCTGAAGTTCGCTGTTTCCCCCTAAACCGCAACTCTTCATCTTATTTTTATATGATCAAAATTCGTAATTGTAAATTTTTTGATTAATAAAAGAATATCTTACTGAATTAATTATTGTCATTAAATAAACATTTATATCTTTATTCAATGAACAATGAGTTAATGTTTGTAATAATTGAAATGCTTGTCGACAATTTTCAATATCTTCACCTTGATCTTTTAATGGTATTTTCTATAATATACAAAAGAAAATTTGATAATTTAATTCCTCATAATTTAAATATACTAACAATATTTTGAATTGTTTTTTCTATCCATTGTTGAAATTGATTTAAATCGATATCATAAATAACTTTTGATATTAATTCATATTCATTATTTAAACATTTAACTAATACATCAATATCATCAATTGTTGAACTGGTTTTAAAAACATTTTTCCAATGTTTTGCATAAGCAATAACAACTGATTTTAAATTATTTGTTCCATTTATATCTCGTACAATTGATTGCCATGTTTGTTGAAGAAATTTTAAATATTTTTCATAGGATGTTAAACTATTTAATATAATCATAGCCAAGATATATCGAGTATCTAATGATGAATATGATATTGATGAATGTGATGATGAATTTATTAAACGATCAATTATAGAACAGAGATCATTTGATGATATCAAAGAACGACTATGATAAAATAATAAAAGATATTTTTCTAATAAACGAATATTTTGAAAATCTTCATTAGATTTCATTTTTTCAAGAATTTCATTAATTTTTCTTTTGATTATTGATTGATAAGTTGAATTATTTGATAGAATAATTAAAACTTGATCAATCATATTTTCATTATTTGTCGTTAGAGTAAAATCAAGTAAATCATTCATAAATTTTAATGGTAAAATTTTTTGAGAATGAATTATATCAAGAAGAATTTGCATAGATTCAAGTGATACAGGTGAAATACTTAATGCAAGCCAACCAATTGAAATTAATATATCAGATGTTTGTATAACATTAAAATTAATCGACGAAAATAACTAAAAAAAAATATGCTCTATAAATTTAAAGTATTCTCGCATTTCGCCAGTGTCATTATATATGTATAAAAATAGCTCCTGGTAACTATACTGAGGAGTTTAGACTAGGGTTCGACGGACCGGTTTTTTTCATACCGATCCCGTCCCATCCGGAGAAAAGTCGGGATTTTGATCTCGCTCCTGATGAGATAGGGATCGGGACAGTCCCGCCGGAGCCTAGTATAGACTATAATATGTTTATTCTGATAATCTTAGGATAATTTGTCACTAATCTTGTGTTATTACAGTTGGCGAATGTCTTATTCGCGAAGAGATAGTCAATTGAGTATAAAAAGAACTAACTCTATAGACAAGAAGTTCTTCTGTGAGAAGGAGACAAAACCTTTTAATAATATATCACTTACCGATAGGATTTTTCCGTCGATTGTACATGATTTTGTAGTTAGATAATCGTAAAACGTACTAAAATGAAATTGTTTAATTGATTTAAATTATAATGCTATGAAAAACTTACTCAATATTCTCTTCAAAATCGATTTTTCGTCGTTTTTTTGATTGAGAATCATCACTAAATAATATTGATAACAAAATAATTATTTTTCAATAAATTAATTTACTGAGTATTTATTTCGATCATATATTCAATAGTTGCTTGAACAATTAATCGAAGACGATCTTCATTTGAAATAAACCAAGATTGATCAACACTAAAAATTATATTATTTCCTTTTTCTATATATAATCGATAGAAAAAAAATTTGATTTACTTTGGATGTTCGATAATTTGTTTTATAAATAGTTTAACCAATTTCAATTGTTTATTTTTTGGTAGAAAATCAAAGAATGATTCGAGTTGACTAAAAACTTTTGTTGATGAAAATGATGATAATTCAAGTAGATTTTCAATTAATTTAGGATCAATTTCATTTTCATTTGCTGCTAATGATCGATATAAACGTTGGCAAGCAAGTGAAAACTATACAATAAAAATACTTTCGAAATTTTCTCTATGAAAAAAACTAAAAACATACTAATATTGATTGAACATCCGAATCAGATTGAAGTGATATCCATTGAGCATGAGACAATAATGGTCCATTATGATTGTATGTATCATTAACGGGAGAAATTGTTGATGAAAATGATAAAAGACATAATGAAAACCATCCTAATGATAGATAACATTGAAGTATACAAGTACGATGATTTGAATTTGTTGATGTTAACTAAAAATATTATTAAAAAATCGTAAGTTTTCTATTATAGTACACAAACGTTTTTGAAATATTTAGATTTTGTATGTGTAAATTAGAACAATAGCAGACTCTTATTCTTAATAAAAACTGAAGAGCTGAATGGTCAGGTTAAGTGAACTTCAAATTTGAATTTTACAAGTTTCAAGTTTTTCGATAAATTGTAGTTTTTGACTGTGGACTTTTTTTCTTGAGCATCACCAGTCGACTCAGCACAATCCAGAATATTTATTAGAGCAATCAAAAACATATTATTATAGTTTTTAGGTAGAGTATTTTGCGAAAACTTACACATCTGTAAACTCCAAATTTGGAGCACACTTAACTTGACCGAGCCGAATCATGATTTTATTATGTATGATTATAGCGTTTTTCTAAAGTTTTTCGTTGTAATCTTAAATCTGAAAAGTAAGGATTACAGTAAAACCTCTCTATAGTAGACATCATTATAGGGTCTGGCTGGACTGTCCTGATCCCTATTCCTTCGAGAGCGGGATCAAAATTTCGACTTTTCTCCCAATGGGACGGGATAGGGACTATGGAATCCCGAGTAAATACATTAATGGGTTTTAAGTGGGGATGAATTGTATTCACAGAAAATGGTAACAGCATCGAAGATCCCGATAAAATATTTTGCCGAGATCGGAACAGGTTTCTGTCGAGTGAAAGACGGTCGGGATGAAAAAAACCGGTTCCGCCGGATCCTACGTCATTCGGTCTTTTCAAACGTGTCCACTATAAGAAGGTTCATTCCCATTAAAAAATGTCTACTAAAGATTTTTCAAAGTTTATTTCGTTCTATAGGAGAAAAACAAAATGAAATATAACATTTTTCATAGTTACCATTGTTTCATTAATTTGTTCACGTAATTTTTCTAGTGTTCTATCATATTTTAATTGAGTTTGTTGTAATAATATTGCTCGTGGAATATTTAAATCAAACAAACGATAACCATCAAGTAGAGCACTAATTAATTGAATAATAATTAAATGTACTGTACTATTCTCTAGTTGATCTAATAATGATGACCAAATTTCATCGATTAATGTATGTGTACATTCTGAAATACATTTTCGATAACTAAATTAAAAAAATAGAAATTTTAAAAATAAAACTTAAGCTATTTACTGTTGTAAAACATTTAAGGGAAGAATTGTTGATTTATCAAAAACAATTGTTAAACGTTTAGTTAATTTTGATAATGATCTTCGATGAGAATATAAATTCATATAACCAATAAGAAATATTGAAAGACATTGTTCCGAATCATGAAATTGTTGAATCAATTCTAATAAATTTGTTTCAATTAATGTTGGATGTAAATGAAGACAAACAACACATAAATTTGCATAATTTTTTGTTTTATTTTCAATATTATGTTTAAATAATATATCTTTCATCCAATTGGTAATTCGTTCTTCTAATGAATTATTTAATAATTGATCAATTAAATGTTTTTCATCGAGAATTTCAAGTAATTGACGAATACCATCGATATATAAATGTTCATTAGACATTTTTTCAAGCCATGTATGTATTTCAATTAATAATTCAAATACATCAGAAATTTTTTCTCTAAAAAAAAGAAAATAAAATAATTTTGAAATAATCTAACAAGATTATGTAAACATACGGTTCAATTAAATTAATACAATGACGAAAAACAAGTGGAAGAAAATTAATAACATTTGAATTTCCCTGAAAAGAAGAAAAAATTTAGATTTTACTTTTAACGAAAATGTAATCATACGGCAATAACAAGTGATTCAAGTGTAGTAAATAAAGGTGAAACTGGACAAGAGATTGTTTTATTTGTTGATAAAGATTGTATGTAATCACGATAAGCTGTAATCCATGTTCTAAATAGAAAATTTTTCTTTTAATTGAATGTTTTTCAGTTAATAGGATTAATTTTACCTATGAAAAACAATATATTTAAGAATATCATCAATAAGAGATAATAATGATGGATAAATTGAGCGGATATCCAATAAAGGTGAGAGTAATTGTTTGCATAAATCAAGAAATACCTAAAAAAGAAATAAAACAAGTTTTATTAGAGAATATTTTTTTATTTTATGACAAAAAAAGAAAGTATCAGGTTCTACCCAGATTTGAACTGGGGTCGCTGGATTCAAAGTC